ATGTATTTAGTCTTGCTCCAGGTAGTAAAATTACAACACATTTATATTTTAAAGTAAGCAAACAGAAGAGTTTTGGGGTCACCATAAAATGTGCAACAACATTCCATAGTACTTTCAGTCCAGATAGATTCACTTTTTGGAAAGGCCCAGGTTTCTTCTTCCTTTCTAACCTCGTCCATAGGTCAGTTTTGACTTGGGAAAGGTGCAAATAGGAATTTATGTCACACTCTTGGCAAAAGTATCAAAAATAACTACTATTTTCAAGTTACCATACTGTATCTTACAAATTGACATTCCATTGATCATGGTGAAAAGTAACAGTATCATTTCAACATCTGTAACTTTTACTTTTGTACTTTTTCCTTTCCATTACTCCTAAACCAGGAAAAAGAAAATGAAAAAAAAAAAAAAGAAAGAAAGAAAGAAAATGTTCCAATAGCAGTTTAATGGCTTTCAAAAGGTTACCCTGGATTATGCAAGGATTTTCTACGAGGATTATTTGAAAAAATAAAGGAAATTGAGAATGTATGTTTCCCACAGGAAGAGGGACCCCCGGAAATGACACAAATTAGCACATACAACTGGACCAAGTGTTGTTAACCAATGACTCCAGGATGGGAAAAAGTAGGTAAAAAAGATAAAACCAGACAACTAATACCAAAAAAGATCAGTGGCTCATAGTTATATATGACAGTGAAATCAAGTTTAAAAAATTACTGGCCTCTTTGCTCTCAAGTGGTGTGAGGTGGTATTGTAGGTAGGAGGATGAGGAGTGATTTGCCACAGCTCTGTACCCTCAACAGAGGGGGTTCTACTTACCTGCTTTTGAGAACTGGTTCAATATCATGTTAGCATTTAAGGAGTAAACTAAGCAGTGCACTTCAATAAATCCTACACCAACAAAGAAAAAGCTGCCCTTGTTTAGGTGGAAATTCAAGATCACTAATGTAGTCTGCCAGGGCACATATGAACTATACAAGTCTCATGCTTCTGACTCTTGTCTTCAAGTCCCCAAACTGGAAAAAAAACAGATAAATGCCTGAGGAACCACTTCACACCCCAAACACGTGCAAACTTTGTTCAACAGAACAGTTTACTGCCAAAATGGAGTTGGCAGAAGTTTGGAGCAAAGGCCCCCAGGCTGCATGATTTGCTGGCACCAGAGAGCTTAAAAATCTTAACATAATACTGCTGAGTTTGAGCTCTACCAATTTGCTTGGGACTCTTTCTCCAAATTTGACCTGAGAAAGATGGAAGCTGTCATCAAGAAAGACTTTATTAACACTTCATTCTCTACCCAGAAATAATTTGATTTCCCACTCCTGATGGTCATACTTCTACATTCTTTGGTAATTTTGTTTATACTGTAAATCTAACATAGTCTATTTTGAAATGCATGTAAATTCAATTTTGTTTGGTTGCTTGTATAAAGGGGTACAGGAAGAATTACTGTAAATACACAAAATTAATTATGACAAAGTTCTACTTAGAGAATACTTGATCCAAATAGCCCCCCATACATCACAATTTATTACCCTCAGACACTGTGGCAGAAATTAAGATATAGAATATCTGTAAGTTGCTATCAGTTTATATAGTTTAGTTTGTATTATCACTTCTCTGAGTTTGAGTAATGGTGGTTTGGTTTGTATATGAACAATTTAGGAAGGGAGGAAAGGAGCCAAGAAGAGTTCTTCTCTTCCACAAGGGTCAACAATAAGGTGTTATTTGGGATCCTCACAAGCTTGATCCAATTTAGTGAAGAAAACTGCACCCCAATTTTAATTGTAGTTCAGGGTGCCTGGCTGGCTCAGTCGGTAGAGCATGCAACTCTAACTTTGGGGGTCATGAGTTCAAGTCCCATGTTGAGCATAGCACTTACTTAAAAAATAAAATAAAATTGTAGTTAGAATACTGGCAACAATACAACTAGCAAGTTTAAACTTGTAAATTCTTAACATACAGTATTAAGAAAGTACGGTTTACTTTGGAAGGTAATATTTTGTGCTGGTTCAATACAAGATCAGGTTTAGAGTAAAGATGCTACTTGCTCCTCATACAGCTAGAAAAAAAAAGAAAAAGCTTTTTATGAAAATTTTTAACTTTCAAATATTTTCTTTCAGTAGCTCCATGTATTAACCTCTTTTGAAAGCCTTTCTGTTCTTCCTCCTCTAGAACCTCCTAAGTATTCTAATTCTCAGGGATGATTTCATATTTCTAATCTCCACAGTAGAGTTGGATGCATTTAGGACAAAACTCTCTTCTAGGATATCAAGTTGCCGAAGACTGTAGTTTTAAAGATATTTATATAGTAGTGCTGCCACCTAAAGATGAGGTGAATAAAGAAGCAATTCAAAAGAATGACCCATCATTCTTAAACCTGTCTCAAAATTTTTCTTACCTCTAACTAGGGATTAATAAACATTTTGCTGTTAGTATGGAATTTGAATTGTTTCACAATAACTTATTGCTCAGCTGTAGTTTCCTAGGGCAGAAAATTCTAATCTCAAACCTTTTAGAGTCCTCTCTGATTTGGGGTCTCCAGGAATACCTCCTAAGTTTATTTCTCTCAGACATTAGGCACTGCCTATAATACATGGTGGCGCGGGGGGCGGGGGGGGGGAGCATCCAAAGATACCCGGAAGTAAACAATTGAGGGATTTCTGGCTTAGTGGATAAAGTAAGCAATAATAGACCTAAGGTGTTTCTATCGGTGACAGACTCCTTGCAACTCCGAACAACTGACTTATATTTTTGTAACTCGACTTTATCATCTATAAAATGGGGTTAATTTCATCTCATTCCTACTTGCCTCAGAGGCTTAACTAGATAAGCTTCCTTAAAAAAAGGTCTGGTCCTATAATAAATTAGTGACGTTAAAGGTCTAATGTTGCCTATTAAAAGGGTATTTTACTGTGTATTGCAAGGTAACTTCAAAATAAAATATACTCAGTTAAATGAGTAAGGACAGTGACTAAATTTTCCTAAACTACAGATTGACTTCTCTGAGGCCTATTTAAATAAACGATAAAGATGGTACGGCAGCTATTTATTTGCACCTGATAATTTTTAATTGATCCATCTTCCACGTACGCAATGTTACAGGATGGAGATGTGACAGCATACAAAGTGAGGAAAAAAGTTACCGTGCACCAAAAATCTTGTCAAACTTGCTAAGATTTCAAGAAAACTCTTAAAGAACATTTTATAGTTCTGCATTTCGCCCTTGCGTAGCAATTTATGAACATTAACTCGTCTCTTACACTTTCTCCCTCTCAGACCAAGGACGCATAAATAATATTTATCAGGGGTTTGTCCTTAGTCACAGTCCCTCAGAGAGGCCCAGTTTCACCTACACTGCGTGGGAGGCTGGGCAGCAGCCCCACGCTTCCTGTCAAGGATTCCTGGGGCTAAAGCCTGAACGTGGTCTCGCCTCTTTCTTCTTTATGCTAATTCTGCCCTTCAAGCCCTCTCCGCGGGCGTCTGAAGGCCAAGGTGAGACCCTCCCGGGAGATGAAAGGCCTATTGCCTCCCGAGACTTGCGGGCGGAACGAGGGCGGGAGGAGAGGGTGACAGGGTGGTAGCTGAACCGGTAACGACGCTTAGGGCCCTAAGTTGGAGTTGATGCAGGCCCTACGGGGTTCTAGCCCCGCCTGAGCCTAGCTCCAGCCTTCAAAGCCCAACGAGGGGTAAATCCTCCTAGGGGCGCCACGGGCGGTGAGTGGAGGAAGTGCGGGCAAAGAGGCCACAGGCAGCCCCCTCCTCAGACGCGCCTCAAGGCCTGGGCCGTGGGCTGTTGACGCGCCAACGGCGGAGAAGGCGCGCGCACGCGCAAGAGGGGGGCGGAGGGAGCGCGCTCCGTGCCCGCCGCCGCGGCAACTGAAACGGAGGGACGCGAGGGCGGAGGGCGCGAGCCACGGGGGGAGGATGGGGGAGAGATGGTGGGTAACGCGGAGCGCGCGCTGACGTCGCTCGGAGTCACGCACGGAGCGCCGGGTTACGCGCCGACGTCTGGCTGCCACGACTTGCCGTCTGCGGCGGCGGCGAGCGGATCCCGCAGGGGAAGGAGGAGGAGGAGGGAGAGCCAAGGGGGCTGTGAGTGAGCGGGAGAAGCAGGGTGTGAGCCGGACTTGCCCGCGGGAGGGAGAACGAGGGAGAGCCGAGCCAGCCATCCGAGCCGCCTCCTCCTCCTCCCCTCGGCGTCCCGCCCCCGCCTGCCAGCCCGCCCTCCTTCCTCCTCAGCCGGCAGAGCCCGAGTGAGGCGCCGCTCGGCTCGCGCCGCTGTCCAGGACAGGTGTGCGCGCGCGCGCCCTCCTCCCCCTCCTCCCCTCCCCCTTTCCTCGCGCCAGCCTAGCGCCTGCCTAGCGCGCGCCCTCCCTCCCTCCAGCCCGCGCCCTCCCTCACCTGCGGCAGGACAGCGCCCGCCCGCCCGGGTAAGCCCCTCGCGACCTTCCCTGCTGCCACTGCCACAACTGGAGGTGCCGCCTACCCCGTCCCCTCTAATTGCCTTCTTATGCCCCAGGAATAATTACTGTACCATTGTAGACATCCTAGCACCCTCCCTCCGGGGACTCTGGCAGTGCAGCAACATCCCCCCCACCCCCGTAGCGCACGAAAGAACGAACGAACTCCCACCTCCAAAAAAGAAAATATCACACGCCCCTTAAGAAAAAAAAAAAAAAAAAAAAAGACAATCCTACCTCCGCAGACGCTTGTAGACCACCAATGGTGCCGTTTGCTTAGCAATTCCTAAGCCCCATTTCCCCAGGCCACCTTCGCCCCGGGCCTGGGACAGTGCGCCAAATGTGGCCGACACTCCCTGCACAGCAACCCTGGCAGGAGGGGAGAGGAAGGAGGGTTCTAGGCTTCACTACCAACCCCTCCTCTTCTCTGTTCAACCCCCACCCCCGCAATGCATACACCCGCCCAGGATGCGTTGTAAAAATAAAAAATAATACATTGGTGCTGACATCGCAGATGAAGGCAGGCCCAAGGATGGGTGGCCCGAACAAGGCATTTTTGCTGCCCCACGGAGCTAGGTCAGCTCAACAGTCTTCTCTGCCTTTGTTCGGGGGCAAAAGGAACGGATGCGAAGCTGGAGGGTCTTCCCTCTGAGTGACAGTGGGTTTCGGAGGCGGCTGAGATGTCTGTAGAAGGGACCCCCACAAATATATCTGCCTTGATTCTGAACTTGGGTAGAGAAAGGCCCAAGTCCGGATAGGGGAACTTTTTTTTGGCTCGTTGCTGTCTACCCCTGATTTAATGCCACTTCATTTCCGCTGTCTGTGAGGGACCCTCTTAGGGGTTCTAATTCGTTCTGTCGGGCCAGGTGCTTTTGGAGAGCTTTTTGGCAGCGGTGCCAATGCTTGTGTCCCGTGTCCTTGGAAGGGAGGTCCCAGTGCTTTACAATAGATGGAATTTGGTTTGACATCTTTTAGTAGACTATCAGAGGAGAAAAGGATTTTATTATTATTATTATTACTTCAAGACCCCCACTGCTTCCAGCCCAAACTGACGTTTGCGAATTGCGGCTTTGAAAATTGGAGTGTTGACTAGAGTGTGGAGAGTTGCTGATTTCATTCCTTTGGGTACTAGTAAAACCTTTTAAGTATCAGCCGGGAGAGAGTGAGCTATTGACATTTGCATCGGTTCTGTTTGGGCCTTTTGGGTACATAAAATGTCGGGTTCTCGGAATCTTTGATCGAATTTAGAATGTGTGCTACGTTTATTTAACTCTTTTGCAAATGCTTAAAATGAAAACATTTTGTGAAGTGCGAGGATTCTATCACATGGATTGTTCTCTTCAGGTTTTGAATGTTTAATTCATATCTTTAAACATTAAAATAGCATTGGAGAGGCATAATTTCAAAGATTAGGTGAGCTATAGAAGGACGATATGCTTTTTAAAAAAAATGATTGATGAAATACTATTACTATTTGTCTTTGTTGTTGTTAAACGTTAACATTTACTTTACCCTTCATTATCCTGGTAGTTGGCCCTGAGAAGAAATGGGTAATTCCTCCACTTTGAACACTTGCAGTACATTATTCCAGTTAGTTTTAATGATTTGGGTATTGAAGATAATTGTCTAGTTTAAGACAGGCATTTAACCTAAGTAGCACTTGAAAATACAATTTCTAATGTTCTTGCTTCTCTTTTATTTTGGAAATCTGTGCTATTAATCAGCATATTGTTTCTGTTGGGAACTCCATAATCAAAAGGGTTTATTACCCAGAGGTAGATCCCCTCCCTCCAAGTTTATTTTATAAATGTGTGTGTTAATTTTCACTTTTAAAGACTAAAGCTGAATTAGATTATTTCAGAATCACCCGTAGTTCAGGCTGAGGAAGACTGAGGCTTTTTTCCTTCTTGTTCTGCCTAATGTTTGTTTCACTTGTGAACAGTTTTTGTTGGTGAGAGTTTGTTAACGACATAGAGATAGTGGGATTAAAAATAAAGCAATCTCTGTTCTCTTCAAAATGTGTGTGTAGTATTAATAAAAGAGCACAAGAAATCTAAAGATATTTATCAGATTTTTTAAAGTAAGCAAACTTCGAGTAGAAAGGGAATATTTTTTGACGATTTTTAATTAACACCTATATTTTGCGGCATATTAATATATTTCGTTTCCCCTTTGCCTTTCCTACATTGAATTGAAATCATCAGTTTAATTTTACAACTGTTTGTTTCAAAATAACAAATTCAAAAAGCTAGACACTAGAACTGACTTTTCATTTACTAAGTATATTATTTAGGTAATTAGCAAATGGCTAGAAGTCTTTTCACATCTACAGATTTTCTAATGGAGTTTCAATGTTAGGATGCAAATCTAACTTTGAAATTCTTTTTAAGGTTCTAAACTTTTTAAGACTTTCCTCTGAGTCAATATTCATTCTTCCCAGACTGCCTTTTAAGGCTACTGTGTTCTGTAGCCTAAGGAAAGCCGCCTTTCACCACCATGCTCTCCCTAGTCTGACCAAAGCCCCACAGTTACAGGCTTATCCTGAAATTAACTTTTTGAGTAGTGAAAATGTACCAAATATCCAGTTTATCATTGAATCATTTTGGAAAAGCCATTGCTAACCTTGTTTATCTTTTAGATACATTTGTAAAATAGGGGAGAAACTGGTATATAATGACAGAAATTTTATACATATATAACAAATAGTGTAACATAGTAAGTGCATATTTATGTGGAGAGATGCAGGTCTCAGTCATTTGCTGATTTGGGCTTAAAATTCCCAGTGTAAGCATGCAAATGATATTTAACTTGTGTTTTGTCTAGAAACTTCATCAGTTGCCTCTGCGCTGGGAAACTAAGAACTCAGTTTCTGGTGACAGACACCTTTTCAGAAAATCAGGGAGTTCCCAAACTCAAACCGCTTCAGAACCCCTGGATGTAGATGTTTGGAACAGAGGGCAAGAAATTTAGACTCTAAAGTTGGTCCAAGAAGATGGGCAGTTTTAAACCCTAGTTTTCTGTCCTGGAGGAAGCAGTCATTAGTGTGAAAGAATGGCAGGGACCGGCAAGGCGCGCGCTCCTTCTTTGCAATCCTATTGGGCTTCTTGCTGCTGTGAGCTCTCTTGAAGGGGCAAGGGCTTGGTTCTGCACAAGGTAAACCCCAGAAGAAGAGCAGCGGCTCTTCTAGATCAGACTTAAACCGATCTTAGCCTCATTTTACAGCTGGGAATGTAATACCCCGCCCTGCCGTGTGTGGAGACCCTGCCACTCAGCCTTTCGGTCCCAGTTTGGGGCCAGGGTCTATCCAGGGTCCTGATCGCTACTGTGTGAGCCTGGAGGAGCCACTGCTTTTTCTCACTTGAAAATTTGCGCGGTCTGAAGTTCGCCAACAGTTCTTCTCTCCCCTTCCCTGCAGACTTGGGGACAAGGGAGGGAGTTCAGAAAAATCAGCACTAAAAGGGTACCACGTGATACTGGAAGATGCCCCCCCCCCCCCAGCTAAGGAGAAGTTTTTTATGGGGCCCAAAGTCTGGATTTCTGTCTCTCAGAATGGGCCTCCCCTTCAGGGAACCATTTCAGGGACCACTGGACAGGTGGGTGGTTCTGGGGCTGGTTCCCGCAGGACTACTCGAGTTTGCTTTTTGGTAGCCATCGTGCTTTGCCCTGTTTCTTGCTCTTTAGCGGGAAGTAGCTAACATCAACCCAGAACCAAAGGAATTAATACTGGGAAGAACGGGGTCCTTGCTAAGAGAAAAGGGAAGATGTGAATACTTAGCAGGCAGGTTTGCCTAGGTGATGAAAGGATATATTCGGGGGCTTTGAGGGCTCAGGCATTGACAAGGCTTATGTACTAGACTGGTCTGGGTTTCTTGATCATTACTTGATCTACCCCTTTCTTTTCTAGGAAGCTTGTGCAACCATGTACTCAGCTGTCTCTGGGGCTGAATGAGGGACGCAAGACTCCCTACTTTGGGGATTGAGGGATATTCAGTGGGAATGGAGCCCACAGATGGGACAGACACTCTTCTAAGGATGGAGGCAGCAATCCATGCTTGAGAAAGCCAGGAGTAAGGCTCTGAGGTCTGTATCCTGAGCCCCCTGCAGAAGGTGATAAGGAGAATGTAGGGGGATTGGCAGGGGTTCCCCTGGAGATAGGCCTTAGCTTTCCCTCAACTGTTAGAACTACAGACTGCAGGGAGGGAGTATGAGCATTTGCTATATATCTAGGAGAAGGAAAACAGGCCCCAGATTATGCCTTAGATCTAGGAAGATAGAATTCATTTATTTCCGAGCCCCTTTCCGAGACCAGACACCCCCTTTAGCTGTCACTGTCCGAAGATTCATTGGTTAATTCGTGGTTGGTAACCTAGCTGTCACCTAAAAACCATTAATCACTTAATGTTTTACTTTTTGAGAGGTGGGGGCTCTCCTGACACTTAAGAGTTTCTGGGAGGTGGGGTAAAAGGGGCGAGCGAACCTGCGTTAATGAAACCCGTAAGGAACTGCGTTTCCCAGGAAATTCCTGACATTTTTAGCTCGTGAATTTCCTAAATCTTGCTTGGTTTTCTCCTCCATTCTGGGTCCTTCCAGAGGGGAAGAAGAGTGGGTTGGGGGCTGAAGGCTCGGCGGGGCCTGGTTCATCTGCAGAGCTGGCCGGCAACCCAGGTTGGGCTCAGCCTTGAGCAGGGTGCCCCCCTTCCCCAAATCTCGGAAGGAGGAGGGGGAGGCAGGCAGGCAGTTGTGGTCCCAAAGGGGGCCGGTTGATGGTTTTTGGATGAGTGTGGGGTTTCTTTTTGATTGTTGCTTGGGGGGAAGGGCAGAGACAACGCGAACAGGCACTGCGGGCACCCCGGCCCTGGTGCGGCTGCCGTCCTCTGCTCGGCTCCCCCCCGCCGGTGAGTGCGCCCGCCCGCCCGCCCGCCCGACTGTGCGGGGCTGCGGTTGGGGGGAGGGGGGAGCGGGATCATCTGAGGCCAGAGCCGCTGCCGTGCGCGGGGAGGGGGAGCGGCGGGAGCGAGGGGAGGGACGGGCTAGGTGTCTGCTGCTCCGCGCCACTGCTGCCGGCGCCCCGTCCTCATCCCAGGCAGCCCCTTCTGCAGCTAAGGGTTACCGCCGCACCACCTCTCCTGTTCCTTGCCCGCCTCTGCGGCCAGGGCTCTGCGGTAGGAGACAACCCAGCCGGGCAGTGGGTGGGCCTGTCTGGGTTTGGGTTTGGGTCTGGCTGGGGCCCACAGGAAAGGAGGTGGCCGTGACTCGGTGTCCCCTCTCTGCAGCGGGCTCAGTTGCGCTTCACAGGCCCTTCCCCCCACATCCTCTCTTTGGGGTCACTGGAAAGCAGAGCTCAGGCCTGCACCCTGTGCTTAGTATGGCAGTCCCCTTCTCACCCCTGGTCCCCCAACTCCCTGGGCCGAGGCCGCTCAGGGTCTGGCCAACAGCGACAGCCACAGTGGTGGTGGCGGCAGCAGCTGCGACGCGGCGCGTCCCACACACCCCCCCCCCCCCCCAGCCAGGGGTGTGGGGTGAGGGCCGGCGGGTGGGCGCCGCCTGGCGGGCGGGCGGGCAGGGGGCTGGCATCAGGGAGGGGGCGCATGTCACGTGCCGGCGGGCGGGTGGGCGCGTACAGTAGGGCGCCCTGCTACTGTACTGGGGAGTCAGTGCCCTGTTACCGGGTCTCGTCTCTCCCGCAGATCTCGCGAGAGTGGCTGACTGGCTGTGGGGGTTGCGGCGGCAGCAGGCGGAGCCGGGGAGGGAAAGCAGCGGCGGCTGAGGCGACTGAGGCGGCGGGCGGAGCGGCAGGCGGCGGCGGCGGCGCGGCGGCGGAGCGCAGCATCATGGCGGACCGAGACAGCGGCAGCGAGCAGGGTGGTGCGGCGCTGGGCTCGGGCGGCTCCCTGGGGCACCCGGGCTCGGGCTCGGGCTCCGGCGGGGGCGGTGGTGGCGGCGGGGGCGGCGGCGGCAGTGGCGGCGGCGGCGGCGGGGCCCCGGGGGGGCTGCAGCACGAGACGCAGGAGCTGGCCTCCAAGCGGGTGGACATCCAGAACAAGCGCTTCTACCTGGACGTGAAACAGAACGCCAAGGGCCGCTTCCTGAAGATCGCTGAGGTGGGCGCGGGCGGCAACAAGAGCCGCCTCACTCTCTCCATGTCAGTGGCCGTGGAGTTCCGCGACTACCTGGGCGACTTCATCGAGCACTACGCGCAGCTGGGCCCCAGCCAGCCGCCCGACCTGGCCCAGGCGCAGGACGAGCCGCGCCGGGCGCTCAAGAGCGAGTTCCTGGTGCGCGAGAACCGCAAGTACTACATGGATCTCAAGGAGAACCAGCGCGGCCGCTTCCTGCGCATCCGCCAGACGGTCAACCGGGGGCCCGGCCTGGGCTCCACGCAGGGCCAGACCATTGCGCTGCCCGCACAGGGGCTCATCGAGTTCCGCGACGCTCTGGCCAAGCTCATCGATGACTACGGAGTGGAGGAGGAGCCGGCCGAGCTGCCCGAGGGCACCTCCTTGACTGTGGACAACAAGCGCTTCTTCTTCGATGTGGGCTCCAACAAGTACGGCGTGTTTATGCGAGTGAGCGAGGTGAAGCCCACCTACCGCAACTCCATCACCGTGCCCTACAAGGTGTGGGCCAAGTTCGGACACACCTTCTGCAAGTACTCGGAGGAGATGAAGAAGATTCAAGAGAAGCAGAGGGAGAAGCGAGCTGCCTGTGAGCAGCTCCACCAGCAGCAGCAGCAGCAGCAGGAGGAGACCGCCGCTGCCACCCTGTTGCTGCAGGGTGAGGAAGAAGGGGAAGAAGATTGATCAAACTGAATGGAAAAAACCCACACACACATGCATACACACACACACACAGCCACACACAGAAAATATACTGTAAAGAAAGAGAGAAAATAAAAAGTAAAAAAGTAAAAAAAAAAAAAAAAAAAAAAAAAAAGAAATAACTGTTAACTCCAAGGGAGCACCACCCACAGAACCTCCACCAACTGACAGTTTCTCTTCTTGACTTGCCACCCATCGCTGGATGTTGTCCACTTTATCCACCATATAAAACAGTAAGCAGCTGCTAAAAACAAAAAAACAAAAAAAAATACAAAAAGTAATAACATTATATGAACTGTGTTTCCTACTTGATTAAAAAATATAAAGAACTGAGTGTTTATTTCCCTAATTAACCAAGAACTTTTGTACACGTTTAAGCTATTATTATTAAAAGTGTTTGCAAAATGGTCAAGATTATAATATTGCTGAATTATATAAAAGTCCTTTTCATGTTGAGCTAACATTTGACTTTAGCACAAAAAAGAGATATTTTAGAACACGTAAAATAATATTTTTAGTTTTTCTCATTTTGTTACCAAATTTCAAACCTTACATGGAGGTTATTATAGTATATTTGACACCCTATATACCTGTGATTAGAGATGTGTATATATATGAGGGCTAGGCATGCTGTGTGTCTGAGCTTTGTCTAAATGTTATGCAGAAGTTTGTAGAGTTAAAGGTACGTAGGTTTAATTCATGCAAGGTAAACAATAAGTGCTCTCTTTTATACAATATGCATTGCATCTGGACCTTAAACATATAAAAATGGTCAGTGAAACTTCTGTGAACATGAAGAAATTATTAAAAAAGGCATTTAAATGAAATTTGCTAAGTTGTGATTTTTACGGTTGGAACCAAAGTTATTCAAATAGTAAAAGGAAAAAGAGATAGAAAGATAAAGGAAATCTCCCATAATATTTTTCTGCATCTGTTTGCTTTGACTGAGTAGGTGTTTTGTCATTATTGTGTATATGAGATGTATCGTTCATAATATATTTTTTTTATTATGTGTAGAAAGATTTTAAAAACTTAACTAACGTGCAGCAATTTCCAGTGAACCTGTACTTGGACATCAGGTAGCGAGTCTATTTGTGGTCACTAGCACTGTCTCCTAAACTAGTAAGAGGTCTGAAGCTATTCTTTGATTTTTGCCAGTGCTATTAACTTATGTAGACCTGTTAAAAAGCAGAGCAACACAATTATAGTTATCCTACTGAGCCATGGATTCTGAGTTTCATTTTAAAAGTGAAAGACAAGTTGGTATGTGTAAAGGATTTCCATGTAGCTGTGGTGCTAGTTATTACTGGCTACATTATATGCTAAATGTATTTGTGTTCCCCAAGTGTATAAGCCTTCTATCAAAAGTATGTCCTATAACTCATATATTCAAGGTGTAGGGTATGAAAATGCAAAGCTTAGGAGAGCACTTTACCAAGCTGGTGTCCTCCAAACTGAAATTGTTTGTAACGATAGTCTTTTACAGGTTTTCATTTAAAGATGTTTGTGTGCTTTTAATTGACAACTAACTTCTTGCTGCTGTATAGTAAAATATTAATATATTTTTATCATTAAACTGCTGCATGACTATCATCTTTGAGTGAAGAGAAAATGTTATAAAAAAAGATGCCTTAAACAGTACATTTTGGTTTGGAATTCTGTAGAAAGTATTTTGGTTAAAAAAAAAAAAAAAGGATCTTGTCTGATATAGAGAGTTCTGGGGATGGAATTGTTTCTTGGCAAATCCAGCCATATAGATCTTACTGCTGTATGTAGAAGACACCACCTGTAGGAGCTGGAAGGTATCAGTGCTTCTCACATTGTAAAGCATTGGCCTAGGAAGGTGAAACAGTTGTCTTTTTGAAGGATTTTTTTTTTTTCTGCTGGTTCTTTGGGTTTTGATTTGATATTTTAAGCTCCCTGGTTGAGTGTGTTGTCTTTGTTTTTGAGATCTACTGTATGTGTTGAATAACAAGCTATTTCCATTGTACTGTGCATTTTCCCATTAAATTGTTTGCTTTTAATATTCATACAATGTTAAATATGAGGTGACCGTACAATAGTTAGGAATTTCTTTACTTACAAAAATCACTGGAAATGATTAAATTGCTTTTCCCCTTCCCCCAAGGTGCATTTTTCTTATTTCCATATAGTAAAGTTGAGCTTTTACAGTGCATAATGTGACATTTGGAATGCTTATCAACTGCATGTAAACATTAATAACCTGCACTTTTTTGTCTTAAGGTTTGTTGAGCTGTTTTGTTCACTGTACTTTTACTGTGATATGGAAAAGACTGCATTCTCTGTGCTGTTACTAGTTAGGAAAGAGAATTGCTTTGATTTTGTCTCTTGTTTACTATAGCTTTTTAAAGTTAAGCCTTGTACTACAGGTTGTTGGAGTACGCCTAGATCAGTGTTTCATAGTAGCCAGCAATAAGTAGTGCAAGTCAACAAAAACACAGCAAACTTAGGCAAAGTGTCCTTTCTTTGAGATGCGAGTTCTTTCATGAGGTTTTCTTTAGGGTCAGAGTTACCTTAAAGTGAAGCCTTTCTTACCTACAGACTTCAGATTCTGCTTGGAATCCTACCGGATCAATAAGCACATGTATTGTGCAATTGTCTTTACACTTTAACAGTTAAACACAATCTTACTAAGATTTTGAAACCAGTGTCTGATTTATGGTCAGTGGGTTTAAAAAGAAATCCACATGCAAATCTTTTAAGACTTAAGAGATGATCTTAGAAAAGACTAAGTGACTGTAAAGATGCTCTTTTTTGCATCTCACTTTACCTCCCAAGCACCCTCCCAACCCTCCCTTCCCTCTACTGTTTCATCCTTTCCTCACCCTTCCTCCCAGGTGCTCGGTACTTTACCAAGGTTCTATATCTCAGTGTTTTATGTTGGAGTTTTTCCTTGTTTTTATTTTACTAGTTGGTAAACCCTGTTTGTGCTGAAATGAAAAAGGAGATGGTATATTTGACCATATGTGTTATTCATAGAAGACAGTATGATCAAATGTGCCAAAAACAAGCAAACAAAACTTAATTCCTGACAAGTATGCCTTATTTTTAATGATCTGCTTTGTCTTACGATTAAGGTCCAAGAGCTTGGTTAAACTATATTATTTGCCTAAGTATAAAAGAAAACTTGAAATGCATTGCAATATTGACATTCTTTAAAATGAGAGACACTGTCAAGTAATTTAATCTGAGATCAGCCACCAGATTTGAAATGCCCATATATGTGTGTGTGTTTGGTGTTGTTCGTTTTTTTTTCTTTTAAATCACCAAATCTTTTTTTAAGCTACTTTTTATTTGTGCCTCCTATTTATCATGCTGATGTTAGAAGCAGCAGTCATCCAGCCACAGAGGGAGCTAAAGTTAACTATCCAGAACTGTAGAAATCATTATACATGCCTTTGACAACAAAGGAAGTTCATAAGAAAAGCCATGTCGGCTTTTCCTCTACTAGATACAGATTGAAGGTAGATGAATATTTGCCAAATGGAAAGGAGAGACAATGTGAGTCAGGAAAGACAAACTTTCCCAGCTTCCTAAAAGCCATGGAGAGTAGAAACCAAAACCAACAGGGAAATAAAAACCTTGAAAGTCTCACTTTCTAGTCCCATGCAGGGGTTGAAATTTGACTCAAAGTGGAAAATATATTGATAGGTTTTTTTATGTCTTCACTTCTAGAGATGGATAACTATTCCAATTTGATTTTTCAGGTAATGGAGAAAGCTGCTAGTAATTTTAACCCCTGCCTAAAGAAGACAGATAATTTCATTTGGGAGCAAATACTTATTGCCTTGAAAAATAGCACTGTAATAGCCTATGATAATTAGTTGTAGAATAACCTTTATCCCTTTTAAACTATGCAAATTATTAAATAAGTGTAAATTAGGACTCAATTAAAGATAGTTGATTATATTGCAATCAGATGGCATTCACAAACTTAACTGGAGCATATACAAATGAAATCTATTAGTCTAAGAGTTTTGTATGCTAACAGAAAAATATAATTTAGCTACCTATTCTAAAAATGGTGAATATTATTAATATTGTATAATAGGACTGGGAAGACTGCCTCCTTTTTTGAAGAGAGAGAGATTAAGGATTTTTATAATTGTTTTTCATCAAATTTTAATATTTTTGTCAAATTTTTAGGTATTTAATTTGTAAAACAGTTTGCTTTGTACTGGCATACAGAAAATAGGGTATTGATTTTAAACTTTTTGAAGCCAAGTGATCAAGTACATTTGTAATAAAAGTCAATGGATCTATATCAGTTGTACTCACTGTTTTCATTTCTTCTTATTATTACTATAGGAATGCTATACTTTTTCTGCAGGAACACTGTACTAAATTTGGGTGGAAGGGAGGGGAAGAGATAAGTCCGTTGATAATGAGAATCTGGGTGGGTAACCATGGCCCAAGCACTTTATATAATGTTTAAGTCAATTCAGATTTGGTATATTAAAAAAGATGCGTATGTCAATTTTTTTCTTCCTGTTTTCGTATGAAACTTGATGTTTGTGGGGGTTATCTCATTCATTGTTTCCGTGCTTTAACATTTTGCATTTGGCACTGTTGAAACTTTCTAAACATATTTTTCTTTTATGACATTTTGGGTTATATGCCAGCCATGGTGAACCCACCATGGGCATGATTGTTATTTCTGTCTCCCACACATGGTTCTCACCCTCTTTTCTTCAATATTCCCACTCATTTTTTCATATTTTACACACACACACACACACACACACACACATTTCCAGATGATTTTAGAATGGAGATTTCTGAGATTGTTGCTGTAGTTGTTTTCATAGCTCCACAATTCATTTTATTTTACATGTGAACGTATTTTTAATATTTTTCCCCACTAAAAAAATGAGATACCAAATCTAATGACTTTTTTCCCTTTTCTGAGTTTCTCAGTATCAGAATGAGATCCTGCTTTCTATGTAAAAGGATGCTAAAAAAGAAAAGGGAATCTTCAGCAATTTAGGTTTGGAACAATTGGTGATAACTCTGAGTATAACGTTTATAGCTGAATATTCTTAAATTTGAATATCTTAATAATTTAGAGTGATAAATACTTTTTCCTGAGAGTGGAATGAATAGGAAAAAGAATTTATTAGAATTGCTTAGGTGAGCAAATTCACTGAAGTTATTTGTGTAAAGTTTTCTGTTAAAGTTTATCCACTTCTAAATCAAATTATAATATTTCTGGGTTTTTTTAAATTGCAAGTTAACTGAATTTAGACCATTTGTAATGGAGTACACTATAAAACTAAAATGATCACTGCTATTAAAATTACTCTTTTCACCCAGCTGCATTAATTACCATAGAGAATTTGCAGTATATTTTTAAGAAAACCTGATTTCAATATTTGGGGAGTTATTTGATCATAAAAACCTAAATTTAAGGCCTAGGCCATTTGACAGGCTCTTTTCAAACAGAAATTTCATTATTACGGGTTAAGTGAAGATCATCTAAACTAGCATTATCATGTCAGGTAGAATTCCATAATGCAAAAACGACCAAGTGAAAAGTAAAAGATATGATTGGTTTCAAGCCAACAATTTGTCATCTTACAGCTGCTAAACTGACTACCAAGTTTTGATGTTGAATGGTCTAGGCAATTTATGTCTTTAGGAAAGCTGAGTATGGCGTGGGTTGGTTGTTAGAAACATTTTTCTTAAAAAAAAAATATCATAGTTACTCATGTATTTTTATTTTGTCCCCATATTATGTTTGGTATTTGTTTTCTTTTTCTTTTTTTTCCCTGATGTGCTTTGCTTTTGTGGAAAATTGTCTTGTTTGATAGGTAGAAACATGGTGGTGATCCTCTATGTAAAATAAAGTTAATTCTTAAGGACCAGAAATATTTTACTCACTTTGGAATTGCAAGGTTTTTGAATTTTCATGAAAGCATACTTTGTTTTGATGACTATTAGCAGTTTGCTTATTAATTAAAATTTTATAGCATTTCATGGGGAAAATTAAGCTAAAAGTTTAATTTTCTTGATTTAGGGTGCACTTTAATAATTCAAGAGGCCTCCAAGTTCAAGGACCAAACCTTTATATTTTGGAATTTTGAGAATCATGGAAGTACTCTTCTTAACATGTGTTTTAGTCTAAACTGGATTAAAACAGAAGGATCCTCAGAGGACTTAAGGTGTCCTTATTGTGAAGTAGCAAACTTATGGGACAGGTGACTTATGTATTCACCTTGACTAGCTCAACCAGTGATGGGCATCAGCTAATGAATTATTAGAAACATGTTGGGATTGGGTCAAGCTCCCATTCAGCTGGAGTGGATTGGCAATTTCCAGTGTAGGTAGTTGTTGATGGCATTTGACCTACCTCCCTACCATATACGTTTGGCTTTTTTTTTCCTCCCATCCTCTTTTTTCCTTGTTTCGCTCTCCTTTATTATCCTTACCATAGGCCTGCCAGTGACACTCAAACTTACCCCTTTAAGAGGGAAGTAAAGAAATTGCTGGCTCCTGCCTTAGAACATAGCTAACTGATCCCAGAAAGATTTCTGTATAATGAAGTAATTGGGCAGTTTTTCTGAGTGCTGTTTTCCCCATAGTCTTAAACTGGCAATCTGAAGGGCATTGAAATTGTTAAGAAATTCGTGTATTGAAGAGAGTAAGAAGTATGTGTATTTTAGGTAAGTTACAGGGGGGTGAGATTTACTGGTTTGGAGATTTGAGAGCAGAAAGGGAAGAACCGTTCAATGTGTTCATGAATGGGAGTGTGAGAGTTATTTATATAAGGGAATGGTTTGGAGGTAAAGTGGGAGAAATTTTTATTGGGAGGTAGGAAAAGATACTAAGGTGGAGTCTTAAATGAGCGTTGTTTGCTAAGGACAATGAAGTTGATCTTCACTAATGAAGTTTCAATAAAGCCGGAGAAAATGGGTCCCTTGTTGGTTATGAGAAAGCTGTTGGTCGGTAGCTAGATATGATGATGATGCATTATACAATCTGCTTTCAGGTGTAGGATATTTGCTTTTCTGGTCAAATTAAGTAGCACAATTGTGGAATGACAGCTTTTCTGGTCAAAGCATGTTGGTACTGGGGACTTACTATTTTGAGGGAAAGAAGATAAGAAAATTTCAAACTTTTCCACTTATCATTTTTAAACTATCAGAAATATTTATTATACAGATTATTTTTCTGGGCTCATGTTTCAGTGTAGTTTAGCTTTACTTTTCAAAATGGTCCTTAGATCAAATCATTTGATTTTACAGTTCACAAAGATCCATATCATACCTTGATTTTATAGAATCTTGAGCCTTTGGTCCACATTAATTTCTTACAAGAGAGTAAACCAGGTAAAAACAGTAAACTGCAACTTTAGGTATCTTTTTCATTTCTTTTACATTTGCAGTCCCGTCATTTACGACTGTGGATCTTATGAGACCCTCAATAATACTATATTTCTGAAATTAGACAACATACCTCCCAAAACTCAAATTTCTGTTTGTATTCCCACTTTCTCTGTTATTTTAAAATTGTAGAATTCCCAAGTGTTCAGTGGTGGCAGATAATATAATTTAGTATATCTTGGAAGTTCCTATGTTCTTTGTAGGGTGAACTGATAGTGTCTAGATTTCTGTTCCCAGTATCCCAGGAACATTTTTAATTATTTAAGATAAAGAATTGCTATAATATTTTGTTTTTTAAATTACATAATTCAAGTGTATTTGGACTCCTTTTTAGTTTAATATGGACTTATTCTCAGTGATTCTGACAGATTATTTCATTTTACCCAAATCTGTATACATTAGTGACAAAATTTCTTAGATAGCTAAAAAAGAGGTTCTGATTTTGTATCTGGAAAGTAACTTTTTTTTTTTTTACAAATGTCAAGTTCATTAACAAAATTATTTTTATTATAATTTATTTTTTAGAATTAACACTTCGTATGCTTTTCCCATCCTACCCATTTTAAATTATGATACAATTACATTCTATAACTTGTTTAAGTCTGTGCAGAGCCTTCTTAAATAGCCCCTCCCTTAGGAATTGTTTTTTTAAAAAGTGAATTCCCAAACCTAGTCAAGAACCAGTGATTTAAATAACTGCCTTTGAAAGGATTCCTTGAGTCTAGTCAATGGAGATAAATGATAGCCCATTTCCATGCTGCATACAGTTGTTAGGGTTTATAAAGTTATCAATATGTAAAAGTGCAAAAGCAGGAAAGATATAAAGTTGCCTATAAAATTTCTAGTTTTCATTATTTGCACTATTTATCTTTGCACTTGATTTTTTGAAAGTTAAGACTAGTCACTTTCACTTTTGTTTCTAGTCTTTTCTAATTTCTTACAGAATTGTTTTCAATATCCCACCCAAAGCAAAACTTATATGCAATTAAATATGCTTTATAAGTCCGAGAAAATATTTCTTAGTGTTAGCTATGTAGAACAAAAATTTTTTTTGATAAAAATTTTTAATATGGGCCTTTATTTGCCAATATAATCCTTTGTAAATGTGAGCTTTATTAAACTATTTAAATAGACAAAGTGAAAGCTTAGGATAGAAAAAAAATATATATATATATGTATATGAAACGATGTCTTTGAGATCCAGCTTCCAGCCTGAGATGGCCTGGTTTTGGAGTGTTGATTTATTTTCACTGAAGTCAATGAGATCTGAGTCTAGCTGGGTATTGGCTTAAAAAGCTGGAAGTGAAGTGGGTGGCAAGTGGCAGCTCCCTCTTTTATGTAGTTTTCCATAATGCTCAAAGAGTTTCATCATGGTCTATATGATATAACTGGGTATTGAAATAATTACATTAAATGAATATTCCTTTTTGGAATTCAAGGTTCACTCACTTTTTGAGGGGGGGAGGGTGGCAAGGGATAAGAGACTTTATTTTAACTAGAAGAATTCTTATAACCTCAAGATGTGCTCTAGGAAGAATAGGAGAACAAAATGTGTACCTGTGAACATATTTTTTGTCTTAGTGAGATTGTGCAACACAGTGTTCAAAATTGCAAAAAAAAAAAAAAAGGTTGATAGTTTTGTCAATAGAACAGAAATGTGTTTTGGCTAAAATTAATTTTTGTAAGTTATTTAATTATTTCATTTTATATTCCCTTCCCGTATCCTTTTGGGCGCTTCATACTTCTAACAAGTGAGAGGCCTCTCTTTAGATCTGGTTTATTTTTGGAATGCCTGAGTGTGTTTCTCTATTGGGGGGGGGGTCGCCACAGGGTGTTGTTTTAATTCTTGACATGCTCTTCTCAGCATGTTTTGGTAGTCATCCTGGATCTCATGTTTGCAAATTCTGTTGATAATTAAGTGATGTATTGACCTCTCTGACATTGTGTGAATGTTTGTGGCTGGCCTTTATTGTAGAACCTTGTGGTTTTGCTTTCAATTGGGATAGAAAGTTAAACTTCCATTGTTCAAATTTTAGGTTTATCTAGTGGAATTGTGCCCGATAGTTGTCTAACTATGGACCAGTTTGGGGGAATGTAGGTTGACAAATGTGTATTTGACTCTAGATAATCCTTTACTCAAAATAGTAAATTAAAGGCTATAGTATTAGAGTTCTCTTAAGTTTTAAGTTGTCAGATCTTTAAATGTGGATGATGATCAGCATTGTGTTTATGAATTTCCTTAGGGAAAAGAGAAAAATTCAGTCTCCAAACCTTTTCTTAGAGACTAAACTTACCATATATGGAAAATGAAAATATTTTAAAAAGTGGCTTTGATTATTTTTTAATGGAGTTTAATCAGCTTAATTAATTATTTTTCCTAGGTTGAAGCACTTATTTCCCAAATTTGAATAAAGGGAAAAGATCAGCAATTTGGCCCCTTTTTTTTGAGGCCATTTTTAGTTTTCTGCCCCCATTTCCCAACCCTAGTATAAGATGAATTACGGGTATCCCTCTAAGTCCCTGTAACCCCTTTTTGAGATCACAGAAACCTTTGATAATCTGATGAAAGTGATGGACCCTCTCCCCAGAAAAAAAAAATGCACATACACAGATAATTTTACATACAACCTCAGGGGCATCACACATCTAAAACCCAAGTTAAGGATCTCTGCTCTAAGTAAACTCTATAGAGAAAATTTTCATGCAATTAATTGATAAAATTAAGAACTAACTATTGGCTTAAAACATTTCAGATTGGAATTATTGTTAGATGGTGGCCCCTACTAGCAAAATGTGACATTGCAACCAGCTTTGTTAGACATCCAGACAGAAGGAAAAAAGCAATGTTCTGAGAGCTACTTATAAGGAGTCAGGGCATCTCTAGATGTGGGAGCCATTCCTGGTTCAAGGCAGGGGTCAGGGTGCCTGACAGCTTCTAGCAGGGTAGAGTTTGATAAACCACAATGCTCAGGATGCCAAGGGGTTAGCCATTATCTTAACCCCTTCCTCACCAAAAGATTTTAGTTTTGTCTATTAGGAAAAAAGATGTCACTGGGGAAAAAAAAAAAAAAAGATTTGCCTTACAACTTTGCTGGAACACATCAGTTTGGTGACGTATGGGACACCAGTATTATTTGTGAGAAGGTACATAAAACCAAAGTAAATTATTCTCTATGTAGAACATTATTTACTAGTATCATTTGTTTGGATGTATTAGCTTTGACAATTTTTACCAGTAAATATTGGTTTTATTTAAAACTGGGAATCCAATTTATAAATAGGATAGTTGTTGTATCTGTCCTTTCCCCTGTGTAAAGAATAGTTTAAAGATTTATGCATACTTTTTACTTTTCTCTCTTGATGCCATGGAGTGGGGTGGGGTGGGGTGGGGTGGGGGGAGATCTTTGAGTCAATAACTGACAAAATGTCTTCTCCAAATTTAAAAATTGAGAAACAGCACTTTAAGTCCTAACTCTACACCATTTTAGTGCATGTATTAGTTTTCATAATGATTTTTGGTGCATGCCTTTGGGCTTCTTCAAAAGTGTACAATAGGAAAGTGTATTTCCTTTCTTAGAAAGGAGATTTTTTTCTACTTTGCAACTTGTGATTACAAAAATCTTCCTCTGTGGGAAGATTAACCATGTATTGAACTACTGAAAAGTATATATTTTTAGATATACAGAAGGAATCTACATGGAGCAGCATTCAGACCTATATAGAAGTCATAGCATTCTGTATAGGACCAAAAAGGAAATAACATTAAACACTTAAACAGACTTTGTTGGGTAGAAATACCTTTAGATCTTGCATTTACTTCCAAAAAGAAAATACCACAGAAGTTTGCTGAAAACTTCTGTTGTTTGAATTTTCTCTGTCAGTGTATTTAGCCCAAATACAACAGCTTTGGGTTAACACATACATAAGAATCAAAAAAACAAAACTAACTAAATAGATCAGTCTGGTTTGTCAATCCAGCTTGACTGAAATAAGTAAACTAATCACTTGGAACATGAAAAACTGTCCAACTCCTCTAAGGTTTTGACAAAATAACCTTGGCTGATGTGGGAAGATTCCCACTTTGATTTCTGACCTGACAGTGAAGATTCATGCTTGACATGATTTCAAACCTGACAGTGTCTGTTTAAGGAGCTATGGTACAGTTTGCTAATTCAATCCCAGATACCTGTTGATTACCTGTGAGATCTAGAGTCCAAAGTAGCCAGCAGCCATATCCCTGAGTGCTCTGTGCCCATCAGATCTCTTAAAGTAAGCAGGGTTGGGACAGGTAACAGCTCAGATGAGTGACCTCAGGTGCCGTGGACAGCCTCAGATTCAAGAATTGTATCTGTTTTCTTGGGAGTCATCACTGAACTAATGTCCCACATGGTGTTACTTACTGTAGATGCTCTCTCTTAGAGGAGGCCCAGAGCACACATCCTAATCGCTTGTGGTACTCAGAGAGGGGGTGCTAACTCTGAGGCCCTGGCCAAATTCCAGTTTAGGGATGTGGGTCTTCTTCTTGCCATTCTAATTGGAAATGTGCATCGCTTCCCATTTTCCCTGTTGACCTCAGTGCAAACTGCATTAGTCTGTTTCTTTGCCCTGGTCCCAAGTAAGATCCTGGTGTGTATTATATGGGCCATGTTTATGCCTTATCTTAATGCACAAGAGTTGAGGAATGAGTGAGCTCCATATCAAAGTGCCCTGTAGTTAGAGGGGAACTCTTGTGATGCTTTGGAGGTGAAATGGGCCCTTTTGGCATAAGTTGGGGAATATGCACTGGCCGGAGGCTTCCAGCCATGAGGTGTGAATTGAAACCTATTTCCCTCTTTTCTTATAGCACGTTGAGAAAATCTGTTGGGTTTTCAGCAGTCAGGGAAGGCCGGAGTTCTGCAGCTTTAATCTGGGTAACTGAGGCTGGTTGGGGCAAGACTTCGGTTAATTAACTGGGTTCTCAGATGCCACAGACTCCGTGAAAAGTCACCATTATTTTCAATGGTTGTGATAGAATTTCCCCCCAGTAGCCATTATTTTAAGATTATATTGCAGAGTTGCTTTATTTGAGCTTTTCATGTATACACAATCCCAAACTGGAAGAAATAATTTAAAAAAAAAAAAAAAGGAATCCTGCTGTGAAAGGTATATATTACTCTAGATTTTTCTTACTGTAAATATTGTAAGATTGTAATACTGTCGATATTTTATTAACCAACAAATGTTAATCTATGTGAATTCAGACTTATTTTAAATGTGCTTCTTATTTACTGTGTGTGGTCCCTGTTGCTGACAGTATTAAGTTATATTCTGATGTAAGATTAACTTTATTAAAGAATGTAAACATTCATGTTTCCTTATGGGAAAACAAATAAAGTATAAAGAAGACAATTCTTTTCATTAAAATATACTGTGTATTTACACTTGCTAGACCCAGCACCACTTATAAATTTAGTACACTGTTCAGAATTTTAGTTAACACGGCTGACATGGTTGTGCTCTGTTTGAAAGTCTAAGAGTAGGTATTGTTGGAATATAAAGTTTGTATTTGTCTGCTGTGAATCATAATCTTGAAATTTCTAATCAAGTTTGTAAAATTTTTATAGTAAAACATTTTAATGACAATTTAAAAATTTACTTCTCTAAAGAATGGTCAAAACAGTATCCTTTCAAAAATAGAATTGTTCTTTAATATCTTTCCAAACTGACTTTGGTTAAATGGACCAGATGTATATTAGTTAAAATTTAGGACAAAGTTGTGATATTCTTTGAGTTTACAAGTTAATCCTTATTGGAAATGTGCCAATTATACAGTAGAATATCATTAATTTGCACTGTTTGGGGACCCCATTAAGAATGCTGAATTTTGCCAACTAAGAAGTAAGCAAATGCAATTTAAAAAGTAAATTTGAGCATTCTGTATTAAATATGTGCAGTTATTATCACATGAAGAAGCGCAGTGTGTCGGGCTGTAATATAACCATACTTGCTGTCATGTTCTCCCATCTCAGTGCTGGGAACTCACCATGTGGAAACCAAGCAAATGTGTTGTGCATCAGCCGGCTTGAGTTTGTTCAATATCAAAGCTGAAACTAGCGAGGTCTGCTGTACTGCTTATTGAAGTATTGTGATTCTTTTAGGCATTGATTCTTACAAAATATATACTGTAACAGTATACTTTGTACAGATTTAAATTTTATTTGAAAAAAATGAAATAAAGTAGGCAAAAAAATAAAGATGTTTATTTTTCATGTGACTATATAAACAGATCAGTCTTTTGTTTCAGTGTCTTTGGGGGAATCTGGTTGCTCTTGCGTTTTTGGGGGGGTTTTGGGGGGTTTTTTGTTTTTTGATCGATGGAAACCATTTTTAGGACTCAGGAACAGGTATACTTGTCTGATCATTAATTGGCTGCAAGCTTTAAGTGTGCTCTCTCGCACTGGAAAACTCTATTTTCTATTTTATTTTAAAACACATTTATTGGGGCGCCTGGGTGGCTTAGTCGTTAAGCGTCTGCCTTCGGCTTAGGTCCTGATCTCAGGGTCCTGGGATCGAACCCCGGGTCAGGCTCCCTGCTCAGTCTGCTTCTCCCATTCCCTCTCCCTCTGCCCCTGCTCCTGTGCTCTCTCTCTCTCACTCTCTCAAATAAATAAAATCTTAAAAAAAAAAAAAAAAAAAGAAAGATAGGCAAGTCATTCACATAAAATCTTTAGAAATAAATAAATGTGTTTTAAGGACATTTGTTTACTTTTTTTAAAGATTTTACTTATTTATTTGACAAAGAGAAACAGCGAGAGAAGGAACACAAGTAGGGGGAGTGGGAGAGGGAGAGGCAGGCTCCCCACCCAGCAGGACCCTGGGATCATGACCTGAGCCAAAAGCAGACGCTTAACCGACTAAGCCACCCAGGTGCCCCTGAGTCAGTTTTTTAAAATTCTCTGATGGTATGATGGTTAACCTAGCCCATCACAATTGAGGAAAAAGAAAAAGTTTTCCCATAAATCATGCCCCTTTCCCATGGAAGGGTTTTTTGTTTTCTTTCGTTTTAAAATTGAAGTTGGTTTAAGGTAGTGGAAGACTTACCAAAGAGTGCATGACAAAACATGAAGAGAATCTTCTACAGAAAATAGAGGTTGTGCTTAAAGATCCTTTCAGAACTGCTTTTCTAGTGAGTGGAGTGGTAGACAGAGAATGAAGTTACCAATGAAAATGTGGCTCAAGTGTGATCCTTCAGAATAGTTTTAATGGGGTCTTTGTACAGAAGATTAGATTATTAGACCAAAAAAATCCCAGTTTTGTCCTCTAATTCAAAAACCAGTGGAGGCCTTATGTGCATAACATTTTCCCCAACCTTTAGAAGTAGAGCTGGAAGTTTTATTTCTGCTTTCTCCTCATTTTATCTTTGCTGATGCTTTCATTTACCTTCAGGCTGGATAGAAGGAGGCTTGGAACAAGTAGTTGCAGGGACAAGGTTCCTGCAAAAGTCACACCATAGAAAATTTTTCAGTGTATTTAAATGTATGTGACTGTGGTTATATTCTAAAAACTGATATATGGCCATAAAAATATCTCAAGATCATAGTATTACAGTTCCAGGCTTTCCTGGGTGAATCCTGAGAAGGTTTTGCTATTGTTGTTACTGGTTTTTTCTTGCTGAAGTGGCCCTCTTTTGTAGAGAACAGCAGACTAGCTGTTGGACTAGCTTCTACATCTGACAGCTGCCACTCCAATAAAAATAATGCAGAAACTTTGCTTATGAAAACTTAAAGCTGAGGGTGTCACGGTTTGGAGGAGGTAGGTGGGGTGCAAAGAAAGTTTTCCCTACATTCTGCAGGGCCTCTGATTTGGGAGGCACAAACAGAACAGGTGGGCACCTCCTGAAAAGGAAACCAGATTCCCTTCTGGGCTCAAGGTGGAATCAGTCTAACCCTTGGATCCCTTTTGAAGAGTTGGGCTCTCTAGTTATAGGAGCTTGAGGTAGAAATTCTAGCCATGATTTGTGGTAAGTATAAGGGAAGGAAAAGTCAGAAGCCCCTTCCTCACTGTCTGTGACCTTATTCTTTTAAAGACTCCTGATGGGACTGTGATAAAATATGCCCTCTAGTCATTTTGAAATGCAAGTACTGAAGTTCTGCAGGGCTCCAGGGGATACAGACTTGGGGTAGGTCTGAACTACAGGACAAGGCTTATAGTGCCACGGGAGGGAGACCCTCAAGAAAGGGGCCCAGCATGTTCAACAGAACTATTTGTCATTTTTATTTAGCTCTTTGTTTTCTAAAGTGATGTAATTGGCAAACTCTTCCCACCCTCACCTCTAATAGATGTTAACTTTTATTTAACCACGTGGTATGTCATTTACTTTGGCTCTTTTGCATGATTTTTAGAAATCTCTTTGTTCCTAGTTCCAGTCTTTCTAAGCAGACAGGACTTTTTGATTGAGAGTACAGGGTTTGGAAGAGGTTCATTCAGGATCAGAGGAAAGAAGAGTTCTCTTTTTCGGTGTTTGACTGCTAGCTAACCTCAGGGCTGGCACACATCACCACCGCTTTCACTTCACCATCCCCCGCTCTTCTGGAACTTGAGGGGGAGGAGCCACTATTTTTTCCCCTTAAAATGGGGATTCTACCCTCATATTGCAGATCTCCAGAGTGTTTTCAGTAAGGTTGTCCCAGTTCTCCTCAACAATGATTTTTATTTATTTTGATTTGTTCCAATTGGGCCATTTGACACTTAGGTTGGCAGTGAGGAAATGTCACAAAACAGAGTCAGTGAATGTTGCGATGTTTAAAAGAGCAGGATATCCCCACTTTACAGCCCACGGGGTTAACCGCTTAACCCCCCCCACCACCACACCCATCCTAAGGATCCTGACTCTCCTCGCATACCCAGCTCACACCTTAGAACTTCCCCCAAGGAGCAGGAGTTTCCTTGTCATCCTCCTGGGAAGACTGGCAGCAGGTCTAACCTGCCTCCAGTTTTTCTGTCTCTGGCAGCGACACTAAGGGTGGGTCTGTACCGCTACCATCGTAAATTTTTCCAAGCCCACTACTTTTTTTTTTTTTTTTAACTAACATTGCATGCTTAAAATATGCAAGATACCAAGCTATGTATTTTATCTAGATTATTTTATTTAATTCTTACTACAACCCTATGAGATAGGCACTTTTATTTACCCCCGTTTTACAGAAGAGGGAAACTGAGGCACAGAGAGATTAAGTAACATGCCCAGGGCCACACAGTCAGAATTCAAGTCACAAGTCCTGGCAGGCTGGTGCCAGAGCACGCCCTTGGTCTCAGTCACTCTAGCGTATTGTCTTCCCTATAAGGTTCTGCCTCCTCTTCTAACTTGTAGAGTCCCCCTGACTTTGATGTTGCCTTACCTCAGGATGTACTTAGCTGGATGGCAAAGCTTATGTTCCCTGTATAGCTCAAAAGCCACACTTCCTGTTCTGAAGGTTGATTCCTGAATGAATCCACATTTTCATTTCCCCTCCCGTTTCATGGGGGAGTGACTTACTCAGAGCAGAGCTGAGGGAAGCTGGCAATAGCCTTTCCAGGCCTCTCTCTCCAGTGCTCTTTTTGAAAGTAAGCACAGCCCTCAATACTCTTCCTGCCTCTTCCCATCCTCACCACAATGACTTGATCAAAGAGCTCTGTGAATGAAGCCCCTGAATTCTGTCTAGTGGAGTTGTTGATTTCTTTCTGTTTCCCGGATTATAGCCCCCAGCAGACACCCTGTCCTGCTTCCCATCTGGCTTCAGATAGAGGCTCAAAAAGGATCAGGAGGCAGCCTTTAGGAGAGGATCCGGGTTTGCCCAGATTCCCAAAACCTCACTATTCACCAGTAATTGACCCAGTAATTGGATCAGCCGGGGCTAGTCCTGTAGTTTCTAGCTCAGAGTTATGCTTGGGCTTTTATGTTTCTGAAGGCACTTTCCTGCATCCTCTAAAATGCTATTTTCCAGATGCTTCCTGACCTCCATGGGGAGGTCCAGAGTCTTTCACGCTCCAGGGGCCTCTTCCAAAAATAAAATCTGAAATTCCTGGGGACTTGGGGTGGTTTAGATGGCTGTGGCATCTGTTAGAACTCTTGTCTGAAAAGAGAAGTTCACAATTTAAACTGGAACCCCTCATGTGTTTTGTATCCTCTATAACAGTGGTTCTTCAAGTGTGGCTCCTGGACCAAGAGCATGAGCATTCCCTTAGAAGTTGTCAGAAATGCAAATTCCTGCGCCTAACTCCAGAACAAACCAAATCAGAACCTTAGCTTTGCTCTTCAGGGGCCCAGCGACCCTGTTGTAACGAGCCCACCAGGTGACCGTGAGGCACATTGAAGTGGGAGAACCACTGCTCTCTAAAGCGAGGTTCTCTACGTCTTTTCGAGTCTTAGGTTTGAGAATCCGGTGAAAGCTTGTGGCCCTCTCACCTGCTTCACCGACCCCCCTGAGGGCCAAGTTAAGAATCCCTTTTCTGCCCCTTAGAGCTTGTCCATCCCTCTCTGGCTTCCACTGTTTTGACGCCACCTCCAGAAGGGGTGGCCACATCTCCCCTATTTGTTTTTCCTTTTTTTTTTCTTTTTTTTTTAAAGTAGCTCCATGCCTAGCATGGAGCCCTCGCCTTCCTCACTCATGACCCTGAGATCAAGACCTGAGCCGAGATCAAGAGTCGGACGCTTGACTGACTGAGCCACCCGGGTGCCCCTCTCCCCTGTTTGTTCTTTCATCTGTGTACTGTTGGTTGTCGTCCAGAGCACACCAGAATGCACAGGGAAAAGGGCACGCTCCGTGGATGCGCTGCAACTGTAACCCATGGCCTCTAGACAGAAACCAAATGCTCAGGCGTGGGGCACCAGGCCAGGAGCCTGGGGCCAAATAGAAAAGTGATTCTTTCTCCTAGAGCTGGGAGCTCTGTGTCAGAGCAGAACTGCTAAAAACTGCTAAACTTCCTGTGACGATCCTGGCTGGAGCTTGCTGACGGCAGGTAGAGATCTGGCAATGGCAAGTCCTGGCTGTGCCTCTTGTCCCTGATGACTTGTTTGTAGCATCCCCGTTCACCTGCGCAAGTGTCCTGGTTTGGATGACAGATTATTTGGTCACCCATTTTCTCACCT